CAATTCCTTTTTTTTTTTTTACCCCTAGAAATGAGTGCAAAAAGAAAAAGCTACTCCGTGGAGTACAAGAAAGGAATCGTGGAAGACTCTTGGGGCCAAAATCTTACTGCTTTCTGCAAAGAGATGTTGAATATTCGATTGGTCTGAAAATGGCGAGCAGAGTATGGTAACGTCATTGAACAAGTGGTCAAGGGAAATGCTAAAAAGCGCAAGTGTGGATCAAGTCGGCAACCATTATTTTCTGAGCTGGAAGACCTGATCTGAGAATGGGTTGTTGACAGGAGAGCAAAGGCTTTGGTTGTAAATAGGGTTCAGATTCAAGAATTTGCCCTTGCAATGGCACCACAGTTTGACGTAGCCCCTAAAGACTTGAAAGCATCACAACACTGGCTGGATAATTTCCTTCAGCTAAGTGAACTGTCTTTAAGAAGATCTACAACATTGTTTAGGTTGGAAGATACTCAAGTTATTAAGCAAGCACTTGTATTCAAGTCCTTTATTGATGATGCTGACTTCTCTAAATACAATCTTTCCAACATGATTGCTATGGATGAAACTGCAGTGTTTATGGGCCAATCATCTAAACAACAATTGGACAGCGGGGTGCCTCCTTAGTGTACATAACGTCCACTGCTTACGAAAGTGCACATGTTTCCTGTATTTTGGCAATTCGTCTGGATGGCACTAAAATCCCACCTTTAATCATTTCTAAGGGCAAGAAGGAAAAGATTGAATGTGTTTTGGGTGTTTTTATTCTTGAAACTGAAAAAGCCTGGGCCACACAAGCAGTTATAAGGAAGTGGGTTGATTTAATGCTGCCACTTGTTATGGAAGGGAGCCAAAGAGGTCTGCTAGTCTGGGATGCAGCCAGCACTCACCACGCTAAAGACATGAAGACATTTCTTCACGAAAGAAAAATAGATCAGATAATGATTCCCGCAGGAATGACGGCCTAGCTCCAGACTCTTGATATTGCAATAAACAAGCCATTCAAAGACAATTTGGGCATGGAAATTAATGACTACATTGAAAATAGAATGGAAAGAAATCAGCGTGGAAATTTTGTGGAACCTAAACTGCAAGTAGTTGTGACTTGGGTGAATAATTCATGGGAAAAAAATCACTGACAGTTGCATTGCAAATGCACTGCGAGCAGGCTACCTTGACAAGAAGTACTCATTTAAAGATAGTGCTATTGCTAAACATGGGAGATTTGGTCCACTGATTCTGAAAGAAATGGAGTCACAAGAAATTCACCAGGAAATTCAGGAATTGGATTGTTATGGGATTGTTATAATGATGTTCCAGGAGATGATGACATGATTGTCATTGAATAAATGAGTAAATTCTTGATACTGTAGGATTCACAGTTTGTCTGGTTTGTGTGGACAACTAACGTACTACCGTACAATATAGAGGTAATAAATTTCCTTTATTTTCATTTAACAATAAATGTGTACCGTATTCTTCTTCATGGAAAAATAAGACATCCCCTGAAAATAAGACCTTGCACATCTTTGGGAGCAAAAATTAATATAAGACACTGTCTTATTTTCGGGGAAACAGAGTAAGAGCAACCTCTGCAGTCAGTCTTCTCTGCACACACTCGTGCCAGTGCATGCCTCCTAACCCCTACCCCCTGCAGCTATTCCGAGTCTCTGTGTGCCTTTCTCTCTGCCTGACAGTCCAGACTCCCCCCGTATGAGCTTGGGTCCACAGGGTTTCGCCTGGAACTGGGGTTCAGTGCAGTCGGAACTGGGGTTCAGTGCAGTCAGGGGCTTCCTTCTACCTCCTGCCAGAGAAAGCCAGCCAGGCACTCAGCTGCCCTTCCTCTCTGCATGCATGTCTCTGTACCTGAGCCCTTTACAGCTCCTTTTATTCTCCGTGAGCGTTTTTTGTTCCTTCTAGTTGTAGAACTTCCACTCAGCCATCTTTCTTGTGGTTCTGGATGATGTCTGTTCTGTCTTTTAGTTGTAGTTTTGAAATTGTGCGAGGCAGGAGTTTAGGTGCTTCCCTATGCCGCCATTTTCTCCCAGACATAAATCTTTAAAGCAGTCTAAATAACATTGCTGGGCAGGATACAATTAAATGGCCAAAATTTGTGCTAAGTTCTGTTGAAATTCACATTAATGGAGATGAAGAAGCTGAAATACTTGGAAAGACCTAGTAGTAGCAATGAAGCTTTAAATGCATCTTTAATAATAGGTAAAATAGGAGGGAAATAAAGTATATATAGAATAAGTATAGATTTAACCTTAAATACTTTACCCCCACCTGGTTAATGCATTCTTTTAAAAATATATTTTTTATTGAATTTATTGGGGTGACATTGGTTAGTAAAATTATATAGGTTTCCAGGTGTACTATTCTATAATACAGTGTTTCCCAAACTTTTGACATATGTGTATCCCTTCTATAATTTTTGTAATGCTGAGTAACCCTCATACTCATGAGAGTGTAGAATTAGGCGCAGCTAAGCATGGTGCAGTGCATATCCCCACCAAACTCCGGTGCAATGCATAACCCCACCAAACTCTTCCCGTACCCCTGGGGATACGCATACCACACTTTGGAGTATTATCTTTATATTTATTGTGTGTTCATCACCCAAAGCTAAGTCTCCTTCCATCACCATTTATCCTTCCTTTACTCTTTTCTATCTTCCCGCACCCCCTTGTCCCGTAGTAATCACCAAACTGTTGTCTGTGTCTGTGAGGTGTTTTTTTTTTTTTTTTTTTTTTTTTTTTTTTTTCTTAATTACTTCCCCTTTTTCACTCAAAACTGCCCCTCACCCCAAAACACACACACACACACACACACACACGAAAAAAAACCAAAACTCCCACCCCTCTGAGAGTGGTCAGCCTGTTCTCTGCATCTGTGAGTATGTTTCTTTTTGGTTTGTTAGTTTATTTTATACTTTAGATTGTATAAATGAGTGAAATCATATGGTACTTGATTTTTTGCATGCTGATCTATTCCATTGATCTATGTGTCTGTTTTTATGCCAGTACCATGCTGTTTTGATTACTATGACCTTGAGTATAGTTTGATATCTGTTGGTGTGATTCCTTCAACTTTGTTCTTCTTTCTCAGGATTGCTATGGCTATTCAGGTTCTTTTGTGGTTCCATATACATTTTTGGAATATTTTTTTCTAGTCCTATGAAATATGTCATTGTTATCTTGATAGGAATCACATTGAATCTCTAGATTGCTTTTAATGGTGTTAATTTTTTCTATGAACAAATTATATGCTTACACTTACTTTATCTTCTTTAATACATCTTTGGTTAAATTTATCCCAAGGTGTTTATTTATTTTTTTTATTTTTATTTTTAATGCAATTATAAATGGGACTGTTTTCTTGGTTTCCTTTTCTGATTGTTCGTTATTGGTATATAAAAATGCAAATGATTTCTGAATATTTATTTTGTATGTTGCTACTTTACTGAATTTATCAGTTCTAGTATTTTTTTTTTTTGTGTGTGTGTGGGGGGATCTATTTATTTTTATTTATTTTTGTTGGGATTTTTAGAGTTCTCTATACAGTATCTTGTGTTATTTTTTAAAGGATTATTTATTCAATATATTTCTTATAGAAAAAACCACAATGACAGTTATAGTAAAGAAATTTGCTACTAATAGAATTTGAACTGGGCACAGGGTAATAGAGGAGGGGTCTGAGAGAAGGAGCAATTTGAGTTTAGAAATAAACAAGACAAAGACAACCACAAGGAGAGCCTTGCTTTGAACATGGAAATATTTAGGATCCCTGAGCATGTCTGTCTTTCCTTGAAGCAGATATTTTTAAAGAGATTGCAGAGCATATATATGTATTCTATATTAACATATTGATCTGTAAATCCTTCAGACAGATAACTGTTACCATTTAATACATAACCTAATTTTTTACTTCATTGGAAAATATGTTAAATTGATAAAGAAAAATCTGAGCTTTCTAAAAGACGATTTTCTTTGTTTACTTTTTTTGAAGATATCATTTAAAACAAAGTACTTCTTTAAAAATTATTTCACAGCTGAAACAATGAGCAAAAGTATGGACCAATTTAGTCTTTTGGTGGGGTAGCAGGGTGGATCACAATTGTCTAGGTATATGAATGTATTTCAATTTTTATATATGTCTTATAGAATAAGTTGAAACTGATTGGAAGTTCCTTCAACTGGAAAACTGATAGGAAAAACCATTTCAAAAATATGAGTGGCTTCATTATTTTAAGAGTAGTTTCTTTTAGAAGTAAGCAGCTTTCTCTTTTCTGTAGTGAATGCCTTGCCTATATTAAACAAAAAACAGATTTAAAACATTGTAAAATGAGTAGTATTCAAAATATTCCTTAGTTTTTAGTAGTTTTAGGACTCATGCACATATCAGTTTTGTTTTTTTTTATTCTTCAGGAATAAAGGTAAAGTAGATAAGGATTAAATGTAAGATTATTTAAGTGATTCTCAGAATTTTCTGATTCATGTGTGGTAATATTGAACTCTTTAGTCTTGGGCTTTAATTTGTGCATGGTGCTGACCTGATGCTGTGCAGGGACATTCACTGCATCCCTTCATTCAGTCCCTCTCATTATCCCCACTTCCTGGGGAGCTTGCTTAGAACTGAGCATGAGCTCTTGTTATTAAAATATTGGGCGACCCTGCCTACATGTAACACATTAGTTTTGATATAAGATTTATGTATAGCAAAACCAAATCGGAGGCTCTACTTATTTGCTGTGTCTTTACTAATCAAATTGGTAGGGAATATTATGGGAATTATTAGGATACACAGTGGATCAGGCTTATAATAAATGAACTTATAGTTAATTTAGTTCCTGAGCTTATTTGTTCCATTGTAATTTTTTAGTGCATATCCAAAAAGAAATCTGATTCCATAAATGATACGTGAAACAATCATTGCAGTGTTGTGTGTATTTGTCGATGGTGGTAGTTCTTTTTGCTGGGGGCATCTGCTAACGCAGAGGTTTGTCTCTTCAGGTTCATGTGAAGATGGCGGACGAGGCTGTGTGTGTTGGCCCGGCTCCCACCAATAAAAGCTACCTCAACATGGAGGCCATCCTGGAAGCCATCAGGAAAACCAGGGCCCAAGCTGTGAGTCGGAACGAATCTCTCTCCTGCAGCTGTTTTATATGTAGTTGAGTAGAAAGCTAGAGTTTGTATCTTAAAAAGAAAATAAGAAAGTATGATTGAAAATACTGTTGCAGTTCATGTCACATGAGTTAAATGTGGCTGAATTTGCTACTGGAAATCAAAGGCTTTGTGGCATCTGGCAGTGTTGGTCGCTGATTCTGCAGGTGGCTGCTGGATTCAGCTTTCACACCAGGGAGCAGTTTCAGTTCATTTCCAAATTTGCTAGCGGAAAAAAAAAGAAAAAAAAGAAATCCCAATTAGTTTTGAGTATTAACCCTTTCCATGTAATAGAGCATTAAAAACAAAAAACAAAAAACAAAAAAACCTCTGTATTATAAACAGAATCCAAAAGACCCCAGTTTAAATTATATTTTAGTCACTTAAAAATTATGTACAGCTAGATATACTTCAAGAAATATAAACAATGTAATTGGTAATGATTTAACTTGGTTTATGTCAATAGGTTGCTTGGAGGAATCAGTAACTCTGCTCACCCCCATTCTGTTTGAATGAAGTGTAATCCAAGGAAAGATGGGTTTCTGACATCAGAAATAGTGTTTTGTTGTTGTGTGTGTTTTTATATAAGAACTGATTGCATATAAGGTTAAAACTGTGCAGAGTTATCTCTAAAATTGAATGAAAGCAACTGACACAAGCAATTAACCTGGAGTGCTTCAATTAGTTTTCACATTTTTAAAAAAAGAAATGTATGTTTAAATGATAAGCTGAATTTGTGAACCCACATTATGGATGTTTACAGTTTATTAGTTGAGCTAATGGAAGTAAAACTCTCTGAACTGTAGCTTGTCAAAATGCAATGTTTAGTTGAATGTTTATTATATAAAATGAGACTGGTGGGGTGAAGCTTTTATCCTGTGCTGCAGTGGTTTAAATTATTCTGTTGCATGTTTATAAACAAACCTTGGTTCAGAATTTAAAAATCTTGGATGTATAGCGACTTCTAGATTATGATATCAGCCTCTTCAGGAATTTGATTTTCCTTATTGCAGAATTGTTTTACTGGAAACATATTCAATACTGACTGATAACAGAGTGGCTAAGTTTATGTTTGGCCAGTGTGGGTGAGGTAAAAATCACTTGATTAGAACAGGATGGTAGAATTTAGACTGTAGCAAAGTGGCTTGCATAGCATAGCATAGCATAGCATAGCATAGCATAGCATAGCATAGCATAGCATAAAGAGGTTGTGGATGGCTAAGTGGGGTGAGGAGGAAAAGAAGACTAGATGTTAGAAGAAAAAAACATACAGAGTAAAAAGAAATAGTATAAACCAAACTTCCATTTTAGTTAGATTTTTCAGAAACTGTTCATTGGTAAAGACTGAATACATTAATGTTCTCAGGTATAAAATATGTTACTTGGCTTGTAACCAGGGTTTTGGAAAGTAGCAGTTCCTGGTACTGTAAAGAGAATGAAAAGTTTTTCAAATCTATTTTGCAAAAGATTTTCTTTAATTTAATTCTTTGATTCACCAGTTATTAGAAAAATTTTCAGACTTGTGGCCAAGGTTAGCCTCAGAAAACAGGGAGAGTGAGAGTTGTGTTGAATAGGGAGTCAAATGCAGGTGGACAGGTAGATGGCTCTGATTGTGGTTAGGATAAAGGTCATGTGCAAGAAGTGATTGTAAAACAGGCTGTGTCTTGGAACCTGAGTTTGTACTCAGGAATGTGAGTGGGAGCTGATCACTATGTGAGAGAAGTAACCTTACTCAAGGGCCCTTGAACAGTAAACCCATACTGCACTCTATATTTTGTTTACTGCTCTCTATGATAAAATTTAAAGTGTCTTTTGTTTTCATTTCTAAGGTGCATCCAGGATATGGATTCCTTTCAGAAAACAAAGAATTTGCCAAATGTTTGGTAAGTTTGTAATGAACCAAAAATTGTTAATTTACATTTCAGAAAGCAGTGTAATGGAGTTGCTTTTGTAAATATGGGTAGTGGTGAATTAGAGAATTTTAACTGACCCAACAATTCTTTGAAAATAGTTTATGAAAAGTAAAGAGTTTTTATTTTGTAACCTGTCTTGATTTGAAGAATAAACATGGAAAAGTTATAAAATCATCATATACTTAATGAAAGACACTTGTTTATTATAGGTTGCCTTTGACTTAACTTTTAAAAACCCTAGTTTTAACTAAATATGTCAGGGTGTTCAGTGATTTATTAATTATTTTGCCATCTGATTGGAATGTGAAGCTAGAATAAGATTATTTCCCCCCCCCATTTTATTGTATAATGTGGCATTTAAGATCATACCTTACTACCTTCTCTATTTTGAGAAAAGTTTTATTACAATCTGAATATATTCCTGATATCACTATCCTGGTTAGGTGAATTAACCTGTATTTGCTATTAAACTGATTTTCCAGGTGTATTTATATTTACATTAAAGATGTTACTGAAACCTTAGTTTTTAGATACTAAAATATGATTTTGAATAATGTTTCAGAAAGCTCATTAGATCAATTATTATTCTAGGTATTAGATTATCTTAGTTTATTCTAATATGTTATACTTTGTTTCTATGGTATACTTGGTAATTTGTTCGGCTATGGATTAAAATTATTTATGAATGTAATCATTTTCTAGATAAAATTTTCACTTAAAATCTATAAATTTAATGTGGGACAATTCTAAAGGTCATGGAGTTTTATTTTAGAATTATCTATTTTAACCAATTTACTTTACTGATTTAAAATTAAGGCCTGAAGAATATAGTCAGTAAAATTGTAAATAACTATGGATGGTGTCAAGTTAGTATTGGAGATATTGGGAGAACACTTTGTTATATGACAGAATAATCACTAGGCTGTTGATCTGAATCACTAGTTTTCATCTGAAACTAATATAAAATAATATTGAATGTAATCTGTAATTTTAAAATAAAATAAAAAAAAAGTAAAATAAAAACAGACTTTAAGGCCTAAAGAAATTGTGAGTTAAGGTCACACAGATGGTAATGGTAACAAGTGTCGGGAGAGGGCAAATTTGGGGGAACTATCCAAAGGTCCAGATTCACATTTTCCTATTTATACCAACTTTTTATTTTTTTATCTCTTTGTTTGAAATCTTGGCTGAGGTTCTGTCATTATATAAGAAAATAATTTCTATATAATACTGACATTTAAAATGTACTTATGCAATGTCATGCGTCAAATTTTAAGTTTGTATAGGTGAGGTGTCTCTAAACTATGGTTCATGGGCCAAGTGGGGCCTGCTGCCTGTGTTTGTAAATTAAGTTTTATTGGCACACAGCCATGGTGGTTCATTTACGTGTGCTCTGGGCTGCTTTTGCTCTACAACAGCAAATTGCGTGGCTGTAACAGATCAAATAGCCTGTGAAGCCTAAAATGTTGATTGTATGACCCTTTATAGAAAAAGTTTGCAATCCTGGTAAAAAGGAGTATCTGAGTCCCAAAGAACTTAAATGACATGGCCAATACATTTATTCATGCATTATTTAATAATTTAAAAAAATGCACATTTGGTATCTACCAGTATGTTCAAGGCATAAAAATGAACCAGATGTGAGTCCTGCTCATGAGGAGCTCATTGTCATCTTGTAGAAAAATAAGACAAGTACACAGATGACTTCAGCTCAGGGAAGAAAATATTATGAGATAATTAAATTCTCCATAATTAAAGATATGAAAGATTATTTCTATCAGGGGTTTCATGTTAGGGAAAATAATGTAGAGTTTATGACACCTTCCTTTCTCACTAATTTTCTTCCTAACCTTCTCCATTTCCTTTATCAGGGCTGTGCCTCAGCCAAGCCCAGACTTTATGTTACTCCCAAACATGGCTTGCTCTTTCCTAATCCTTGCCTTTCATCACTCTTTCTCCAATGTCCTCTCCTCCCACATTTCCACTTACTATCTAGCCTTGGAGGCACAATTGACATGGGTACCCCTACCAAGACAGTTTTCTATATCCTTCTGGTGAGATGTAATCTCTTTCCTGTCTTCTAAAGCATTTATTTATTTATTTTTAAATATATATTTTTTATTTCAGAGAGGGTGAGAGAGAGAAACATTGGTGATGAGAGAGAATCACTGACTGGCTGCCTCCTGCACATTGCACATTGGGGATTAAGCCCTGATCAGGAATTGAACCTCAACTTCCTGGTTCATAGGTCGATGTTCAACCACTGAGCCATGCTAGCCAGAGTAGAGCATTTAAAAAAAAAAATTTCTTCTTTTGTCTACCACTTTCCATATTATGTTAAAATTGTGACTGCTTTGTATTTTATTGTCCTCTTGAGACAAGAGATTTGGTTTCAACAGTCTTTGTTTCCCTTTTATTATCTGTCCTAACGATTTCTATATATTAAATTCAGTGAATGTTTTGGGAGGATTAAATACATATTATTACATTAAGAATTATAAAACAATAACCTGCAAGAAAACATTTCAACTATTACAGAAAGGAATGTTTTATAAATAGAAGGCAGTATTACTGTATATTTTTGTTCATTATGAAAATATATAGCTAGTGATAGCTAAACCTCTTTTTTGTGTGCATCATGGTAAGATTCTTATTTGGGATATAATTTCTCTACCATTAAAATACGCCCCTTTCCCAAAGAAAAACACTTTTCCCATTGTAGTATGCCATTTAAGATGTTCCTTTTAGAATATCTGGTTATAGTTCGTAAATTCACAATAAAATTATTTACAGATTTTGTTATGCCATATAAATATTGTTTGTGTGATTGGTGACCAACCATTGAAATTTGACAGTTATTCTATTCCAAACTGGGTATATTATTAGAATATTGATTTCCAACATAGTGGTGATAGATTAGTATGTTAGTGGAAACTTTCGCCCAAGAAGACTGGTAGAAAATGGGGGGGGATTTTTTCCCCCCCCAACTGAGGATATGTTGATATATTTACTTGAGAGAGAGAGAGAAAGGCAGAGAGAGAGAGAGAGAGAGAGAGAGAGAGAGAGAGAGAGAGAGAGAAACTTCATTGGTTGCTTCCCTTACATGTCCAACATGGGTCTAACCTGAAACCTAGGTATGTGCTCTGACCAGGAATCGAACCCGAAACCATTTGGTGTATGGGATGAGACTTCAACCAACCAACTGAATCACCCAGCCAGGGTGCAGAATTTTTTTATGTTTAATACTAATCATGTGTTTGGAATTGAATCAAATATGAAGGTTTACTCCCCATTAATTTCTGATTTCTATTTAAAAAATATATATTTTATTGATTTTTTTTTTTTTTTTTTTTTTTTTTTTTTTACAGAGAGTAAGGGAGAGGGATAGAGAGTTAGAAACATGGATAAGAGAGAAACATCGATCAGCTGCCTCCTGTACAACCCCACTGGGGATGTGCCCGCAACCAAGGCACATGCCCTTGACCGGAATCCAACCTGGGAACCCTTCAGTTCACAGGCCAATGCTCTATCCACTGGGCAAAACCGTTCAGGGCTGGTTCTATTGTTTTTATTGCTCTACAAAAACCAGTTTAATGTATAGCCACTATAGAAAACAGTATGAAGTTTCCTCAAAAAATTAAAAATGGAATTCCTGGGAAAGAGGAGATATATGTAATACTTTAAACAATAAAGAATTAAAAAATAACAGTGTAATGTTTATTTTGCTTATAGAAAAACTTTGTGCTATATTTGATATATTGTTATTTTTAATTAATAGCAATAAATAAAAATGATTTATTGAAAAATATCTTGAAGTTATAGTCTATATTTGCTTTAGAAAGTATACAGTGAGCCAAATGTAAAAGCATATTAAATTTTTTATAAATTTCATTTAGGGGACATTATTACTTAAGCTTAATTTACACAAAGTGGGATTAGATATTATACAATCTCTATTGTACAAGATTTAAGTAAAACCTTGTCTTATTTGTTTTGCCTAAATCATTCATGGAAAAAACAAAGCTACAAATAACTTTCATTAGTACTAATTTTCAGTAATTTTAATGTGCTGAGCAAGCATATTTTATTTTTGAACTGTTTTTTATTCTCTATTTCCCCCTTGGGTTTCTTGTATTCTGAGCCATAAACGAATAGTGATGAGAGGCTATCAGGGCAGTTAGGAGTAAGAAGAGAAATTCTTGTCTTAGCTGGTTTTGCTCAGATAGAGTGTCAGTCTGCTGACTGAAGGGTCTCGGGTTTAATTCCAGTCAAGGATACATGCCCAGGTTGTGGGCTTGATCCCCAGTGGGGGTTGTGCAGGAGGCAGTGATCAATTATTCTTTCTCATCAGTGATGTCTATCTCTCTCCCTTTCTCTCTGAAATCATTAAAAAAAAAAATTTAAAAAAGAAAAAGAAAAGAACTACCTGCTCCTGGAAAAGAGGGATAGTAGTTTAAAGGGATAGTGTTCTAGCTATCTTTCTGTTTTTTAAAATACAGTTCCCCCATATTTATACATATAAGAAGGTGTCCCCATTTATACATATATGATGGTGTTCCCATAACTGCCAATTTGCATATTGATACAAGCCTAGCAGAGGGCAGGCAGCTAGATCCAAGTTCCTGGGGGGGGAAGGGGAGGAGGGGGGGAGGGGGGGAGAGGTTGGGGAGGGTCTGAGGACAGTGCCTGACCGGAGCCTGGCCTGCAAAGAAGGAAGTGGAAGCAGCCAAGGGGAGCTCTTCCAATCCCCCTGCAAGGACAGCCTACCCCAGACCCCGCACCTCTGGAGGGGTGGGGAGGCTGATTGGACAGGGAGAAGACCCGGCCTTGGGAATAGCTGCAGCCTGCACCTGCGACTCTCAGTTTCTTCCCTGCCACTCCCGCCAGTAGCACCCACCGCAATAGCACGCTGGTGACCACTTGTCAGTGTCCCAAGGCACCCAGGGTCTGTGGCCCACTGCTGCCGGGCC